CCATGTGTCCTTCATATTTGTTCCTGGAAACCCTTCCCATTCTCCCCTGAGATTCCCTCTTCTCTCCCCTCTGGTCACCATCAGCCTGTCCTCCATTTCAGTGTCTTTGACTATATTTTGCTACTTGTTTCTTTGTTTTGTTGTTCAGGTTCCTGTTAAAGGTGAGATCACATGGTATTTGTCTTTCACCACCTGGCTTATTTCATTTAGCATAATGCTTTCCAGTTCCATCCATGCTGTTGCAAAGGGTAGGAGCTCCGAGAAGAGAGATCTTGACATGACCCAAAGCATGGGATTATGTGGACCCTGGCCCGCGGGGTCTGTGTGTTGTGGCTGCAATGCACAAATTCACACGGACTACAGAAGTCCTGTGGAGAAAAAGGACAGCACAGCTGCTCTCTGAGTGAGAGAGGGCCCTGACCCCTGCCTGGACAGGCTTTTATTGCTCTTCTGGTACATTACATTGAGGATGGTCCTCATTTACTATGCACAGGTTTACAAATAACAAAGGAAAGAATGTTGCTAATTACTTCAGAGAGAAAGTTGTTACAGATCAAGGGGAAAAGTGGTTGAACTGGTTACACTCCATACTTGGGAGGTTTAGCACATATTTTAGGAAGTAACTTTAGAGAGATGCAGTAAACATTTGCTGCCTCAATTCAGGGTGAGGAGTTTTAGCAATAGCAAGCCTCAAAGCAGCCTAGGTACAATGCAGGACTGATTCTCCACAGGAGAACCTATCTGTGGGCGTGGGTCCTGTGGGCTGACCTCACTCCCCACTGGCCTTTCCGAGTAGGGGCTGGGCTACATTCCCCTTACCACGCCAACATGTTCCCTATAATGGGATAACTAGACATTTCACTGACGTGGAAGATCCCAGAATTTTTGTCAGATTTATTTCCTACTCTCTGACATGCAAATGTTATATTACTAAGTCTACAGTAGTTTTTAATTCTTGTGCACTAGGTCCAATCAGCATGCTATCATCAATGTGATGGGCTGGTGTGATGTCTGATGGAAGAGACATTCAAGATCTCTGTGGACTAAATTGTCACCTGAAGGCAGGAAGTTGATATGCCCTCGAGGTTGGACAATGTTAACCCCATTATGGTTCTCTTAGTGAGTATGTCTCCCAGGTAATAACAACAATTAACATTTACATAGCATTTATCAAACACCAGCAGCTGTTCTAAGCACTTGGCAGATTAATTAATTTATGTGTCATAATGACTCTTAATATCCCCACCTTGCAGATGGGTTTACAGAAAAGTTAAGTGATTTCTCCTGGAATACTCAATGTTTAATTCTGAGCACCATCATTGAAATAAAAACAAGATATGAAGGAGTAGTCAATACTAAGGAAAACTGCACAAAACACCACTTAAACAGCTTTTAGTCATTTATTTCCTTCAACAAGCCAAACAACCACGAGCAAGCAGGAGCAGACAGCAGGTGGAAGGCACAGCACCATGTGTTCAGGTGTTCACTAGTGCCTCTCACTGTTCGGCTGCCACTTATTCCCAGCCAGTAGGTCTGGTGGTCTCTGCTCGCAGAGGTCTGTGCTCCAACCACTGCCAGGGGTAAGAGCTGCCCCTTGGGTCAGTATGTGGCATTCTTCAACATGCAGGCAGCTTTGGGGATCACTGTTCATCAGGGCTTGGTGGACTTAATAGATCCAAGATCCTAGCAGTGAACTTGGATCTGGAGCAGATTAATGAGAAGTGTATGGGTGAAATAACCACACTGAGTCTAAGAGAAATATGACAACTGCGCAAGTTTATGATTGTGTGACTTACAAAGTGTGTCCGTATAACCCCCTTAGGGAAAAACCAACATCACGACACGCTCCAGAGCGCTCTGTGCTCACCTTTTTAAACCACTTGGACATGATTTTTCTGAAAACATTTTTGAAAATAGGAGACTACTGTGATTCTTGGAGCTATAAGAGACTGTATATAATCTTAAATTTTCAGGTGAGAAAACAAATTAAACCCAATCTTTCTTTTCTTAAGATTCCTGTTACGTGTAAAATGGTGGATATTTATTCCCCTGTCACTATCTTTTTCAAGGAGGAAGTTGGGAGGAGACAGCTATCAATAGTGGCTCTGAGTTCCCAGTAACACTATGCCGTACAAGAGAACAAAACTAACACTCGAGGAGTGCTTATAAAACACCCAGGTCTTTTAATCCTCATGACATGCTACAATAAAATCAGAATTTTGGAATGACAGAGCTGAAACCTATCTACCAAGATTAGCAAGAAGAGTAATCTTCAGAGATGTGCTTTCTCTGCTTTCTTCACTGGGGTATCATGCATTCCTCATGGAATTGCGTGTAGCTGTAAATGATTAGGTAATGGTATCTCCTTTGTGTTTAGAGCTCAACATTAATCCATATAAATCTAAACCTTATAAATACTTAATGTTAAGTACTTTTCCTACTTTCTTTTGGAGGGGAAAAAAGCAATTTCTAATGGATGGACTGCCATTTCCAGACAGTTTGCTAGTAGTTTCAGGCAATCCAGCCTTTTTATCTCCATGCAGCAGAAATTTTCCTATTTTACACCAGCAAGCAGACACAACAGATGCATTGTAAATCAGGATGAGCATTATTACTTCTTGTGATCTGTAATTGGCTAACAGGGGACCAGATGAAGTATTTTTATGTCTCCCCAAGGCGAGTCACAAACATCTGAGGTTCTGTGTTGATTCACCCCCACTCTTCAGTGCTACCCTGTGCTGTGCATTGATTTAAGACTCAAAACCAGGATAATGTGTGTTGTGGACAAATTTTAGTTGCACTGATGGAGTTTTCCTAACAGCCACACATTTGGCAATTTATGAACAATGACACAAATTTATGAAAAATGACACAAATTTATGAAACAGATAGATAATGTTAGAGTTATACTCTGTAAACCTATATTGGATGACAACAGATGTCACTCATAATATTATGTTCCTCACCTTGTTGTATTTAGATGGTAGTCTTAAATAAACTTACCTATTTATTTAGATGGGAATATTAACATTACACTTATGAGGGGGACCCAAAAACCCTGGAATTTTCTTGAGGGTGGGCCCTTTGTAGTACAAAGCCTGTAGTACAGGCTTCCCTGGTTAGGTGAGTGTTCTAGGAACCCACCTGTATCACTGTACCAGCTGGTGTTGTTGTGAGAGGCTGCATTTGGCTTCAGCAAATTTTTTTTGAAGATTCTTTCATAGCATTTGCCCATTTCATGATGGGTGATTTACAAGCACACCTGCCCACACCATGCTGAGTATTTAGCAGTTTTTCACCAAAAACAGCACGACCCTTGTGCCCCACCCTTCCTTTTCACCCAATCTGGTCCCGAGTGACTTTTTCTTTCCCTGGATGAAAAGTGTCCTGAAAGGGAAACATTTTGCTGATGTGGAAGAGGTGAAGCAAATATGGCAGAAGTATCAAAATCAATGAGTCCAAAAACTGTTCTGAGCAGTGGAAAAAACATCTCAATAGGTTATTGCATCAAATGGAGAGTACTTTGAAGGTGACTAGAGTTTAAACATGTAAGAATAAACACACCATCTTCATAAGTAAATTCTGTGGTTTTTTATGGGTCCCCACTCACATTATATTAAAGATAAGCGAAACAACAATTTATCACCTGGTTTAATATTCCTGTGGTAGATTTCTACTTGATCCATCTAAATCTTGTTTTTCCTTAAGACACAGAATCTCCATGTGTCCATTCTATTGGAATAATGCTGCTTGTCTAAACTTCCACAACACCTAGTTTGCTACTGAATAGGAGACAGGAAATGGAGGCCACATTGAGATTATCCCATGCACTGCAAATCTTTTTTGTTGGCAGACAAAAAAGTAGGTATAGGCAAAGGAAAAAGCAGTTGCTGAAAAATGGCATCTGAAGATGAGTGATGGACAGCAGTGAGGTTTTTATCTCAATTTGGGAGGGGGTGGGTAAGAGAGGTGACAGGAGTGGAGAGGGCAGATTAAGCTAAAAGAGAAAGGAACGTACAATTATTTGAGTCGAACTTAAGGTAAAAATAAAAGTACAAAGATAATAGGAAAAATTCTAATTTTAATAATTAACATCTATTCAACTACTGACTTGATTTTGCAAAGACGAACCATAGACACGGAATAGTCCAATAGATTGCTAAAATTTACATAGCTAGTAAATGACAGGGCTTGAATTCCAATTGTAGCAATCAGAACCACTATTTTCTTTTCTTTTTTTAATTTTATTTTAATCATTGTTCAAATACAGTTTTCTCCCTTTTACTCCCATCCCAGCCCACCCACCCAACCCTCCTCATTTCCCTCCCATTACCACCCTCCCCCTAGCTTTTGTCCATGTGTCCTTCAAATTTAAACAACCACTATTTTCAAAGGGAGTATTACGAAAGCACACAGAGTGAGAAAACTGAAAGAGGGGATATAGAGACTAGGGGTTAAATGGGGAAAGGAAGGGAGCGAAGACTGCATGAAAAAAAAGATTACCAATGGGCTGATTATAGTTATGCTTTATTAACGGACACAACGCTTTGCATATGTTAGCTCACTGAATGCCACTAACAATTCTGTGAAGTACCTAGTATTCCATTTTTCAGACGAGAACACTTACTAGATGAAAAACGACATTCTCTTCTTGCACTGAGTTACACCAGGATAGCAGGCTCCGGGACAAGGTAAGGAAGACTAAAGGAGACTTGACGGCAGAACAGAGCAGGACAACGTAAGCAAGCTGAGAGCGACAAATGCAGAAGAGCTTCCTATTTACGTAGTGACTGGTTTCAGCTTTCAAATTTCCCCCGCTGGCCCGCCTAGGGGTCACAAAGCCCGCCCCTTAGCCACAAGACCACGCCCCCTTCCGCAACCGTTCTCTGAGCTCCCAATACTTCCCTCCTTCCCTTTGACCCCTCCCACTTCACCAAGCATCATTTCCTGTGCGCTGGATGTTAATTGGTCCAGCAGTCGGAAGTGAGGGCGGGCGGAGGGGCCGTTGCCGCAGTGACAGTGCTGGGGGAGTCTGAAGATGGCGGCGTCGCGTCGCTCTCAGCATCATCACCACCATCATCAACAACAGCTCCAGCCCGCCCCAGGGGCTTCGGCGCCGCCGCCACCACCTCCCCCACCACTCAGCCCCGGCCTGGCCCCGGGGACCACCCCAGCCTCCCCCACAGCGGGTGGCCTGGCCCCCTTTACCTCCCCGCGGCACGGCCTAGCGCTGCCGGAGGGGGATGGCAGTCGGGATCCGCCCGACAGGCCCCGATCCCCGGACCCGGTTGACAGTACCAGCTGTTGCAATACCACCAGCACAATCTGTACCGTCGCTGCCGCTCCTGTGGTCCCGGCGGTCTCTCCATCAGCTGTCGGGGTCCCTCCCAACCCAGCCGGTGGTGGCAATAATAATTCACCGTCGTCCTCTTCTTCCCCGACTTCTTCCTCATCTTCTTCTCCGTCCTCCCCTGGATCGAGCTTGGCGGAGAGCCCCGAGGCAGCCGGAGTTAGCACCACAGCAACAGTGGGGCCTGGGGCAGCGGGACCTGGGCCGGGGGTCCCAGCAGTGAGCGGGGCCCTGCGGGAACTGTTGGAGGCCTGCCGCAATGGGGACGTGTCCCGGGTAAAGAGGCTGGTGGACGCAGCAAACGTGAATGCTAAGGACATGGCCGGCCGGAAATCTTCCCCCCTGCACTTCGCTGCAGGTCAGAGACTTTTGAGTTGCTTTCTAAGGGTTTTGGTGTTGGGGACGGGGCTCCGGGTAAGGTAGGAAAACGAATTATTACGGTGGAACAAAATGGGGGCGTGGTTGTGGTTCTTTAACACCTCACCGGAAGGCTAGATGGAGGTTCCTTTCATTGATAGTGCCTGGTTGACGGGGGCGTGGTAGGGGAACGTGGGAATCCATTCTTTTTGGTGTTTGCACAGTGTTATTCGTAACTCCCAAATCCCCGTAGTGGTAGTCTCCGGATGTACACGTAAACATTTTCACTTCCGAGTGTGTAGGAATAAAGTTAGATTTGGGCAGTGTTAGAGTAGTTTCGTCATGTGTTTGCTACTTTATTTCGTCTTTAAAACAAAAGTATGTCCCCTGAGTACTAGAACAAAAGAAGTTGAATGTAACTCAACAAGTGTTTAAGGACCTATCATAGTCTTAGTAAGCCAGTGAAAAACAATAGATAAAGTTTATGAAACTTTCCCTTTCTCAAGTTTACAGTCTGGGGGGGATCCAAATTCGCTATTTAAAACAACTGGAGAAGAATATTTCGATGTATTTTGTGATAACAAGAAATACAGGTTGTGAAGTTCTGGACACTGCTCTGTGTCAGTTGTCTAACATAGTTTAGATCATCTCAGTTGCCCCCGTTTTCTCATGGTGAAAATTATGTACTAAGGTTGTGTGGGTAATCAGTGAGAAGCATTTGGCACATAAATTCTCCAAAAAAAGTGCTAATTCCTAAACCCTTAACCACACACTTTTGCCTTTGCCCTTTTTTTCTTTTAGCATTAATTGACTATTTTCTTTTAAAAACTTACAGTAAAAATATTTTATGTTTTTATAAAATACAGAAAATAAAGGACATACTCCCACTGCCTTGATAGCTACTATTAACATATTTAAAAAGATATAATGTTATATACATCACAAATATTATGTTAGAAATGTACATTATATATTCATTATACAGTTTGTATAGGACAAAAATATGCAAAGTTAAAAAGCACCACACACAGATCAAAGACAGTAAGTCAAAGATGCCCTCTGTTAAGTTTTTTGATGTGTGTCTAATATATGTCATGCCTTCAGTTTAATGGTAGAACATTTAAGAACTTACGATACGTATTACTTAAATTTACCACAACTTGAAAGATATTATTGTCCTCATTTTACAGATGACAACAGTGTAATGTATGTACTGTTTAAAAATCAGTCCAAATTCAAGAAGTAGTGTCACTGGATATGAACTCAAAACAGTTTGATGTTAGAGCTTGTGAAATCAAGATTAAACTATTGTAACCTATTCCTGGGTTCATGTCACTTTTAGTTTTTTGTATTTCTGATGAAGAGTTTTTGCTTTTCAAGTTTTGGGGGAAGTAATTGGGATACATGTTTTAAGAGTACATTCACACATTTTTATTACAACCTATACTTACATTTTACATTGTCACACACACACACAAACTGAACCAAAAGTTTCAGGAAACATTACTTTTCCTTACTACATGTGCTGTACCCTGATATTTTTATATCCTATTCCATTTCATTTTTTACACATTCTGCTTTTGATTCATCACCAGGCCCCGATCAACAATGCGAAAAACACAGGAAATCTTTGTTAGATTACTGGATCCATTCTTGACAAGTAGACAGTACTATTCAGAATGTAATGAGTTGAATCATAAATGGGCTATCATCTAACTAGACATTTCCTCAAGGATATTGCTTATTTTAGCTGAAATAGCATCTTTTTTAGGTCAAATGAAAGGTCTATGACTGATGTTATAAATTAACTGAGGTTGTTTATTTTTGCATCCTTTATTCCAAATTTGACTATTTTAACATATTGTTTCACACATCTTGTGACTCTCCAGCATACTGCTTTGTAAGTAATCACAGATGATCATTTATTTGTGCAATAATGAATTAATGTAGGATTAGCCACACATAAAACAGAGTTTGTCTCCCAAATCACTTCTTTTGTTTGCCACAGTAGTTAGCTTTGTATTGTTTTGGAGTTTTATGTGTACCCAGATAAGCTATGAAGACAAGCTAGAGTCTTGTAATTTTTGTTGTAATTATGAGAATCTAACTTTGAACAGGTTTTTACAGGAAAAAAATGAGTTCAGTTGTGGAAAACAACAAAAACAGTAAAACTCACCATGGTATAAAACAACACCTTGTGGTGAGGTTACCATCCTTCAGGCTTGTGGGCACGGCATTGAAACTTTGTTACATCTAGTCTTCTCCATCATGTATAGGCTGAGTGGTTAAAAATAATTCTCAGTTGACTGCTAGTTGGTTCGAATGCCAGTCTTTGAATTGTCATGGAGTAGCTGTTTTAAAGATGGAAATTGGTACAGTTTTATGTATGGAAAAGTTTAAAACCTGTACATCATTTTTTCACAACTGTTTTATTACTTATCACAGATTAGGTATTAGGCACTGACACGACTTTGAAATGGCAAACAGTCCATACCCTTATGGAGCTTGCAGTCTACAGGGGGAAGTAAACAAGGACAACAACCACCCCCCCCCCCCATGAAGTGTACAACCCTAAAGTGAGGAAAATACATTATATTCTCTGTTCAGCAGATAATAGGGACTCTTGTCCTGGTTTTGGAGCATAGTCTCTTTAGGTAGAAATTGTTAAGCAGGGATTTAAAAGATGAGTCCAAGCTAGCTAGACAGAAAATTGGAAGGAAGAATGTTAATTAATGGCTTTTTTTTTTTCATTTTAAAATGAGTTTATAGTTCTATAGAATGAAATGAAGCCATTTTAAAAGATCTCAGAAATGATGTGAAGTCATAGTTAAACCCTTATGACTGTTTAAAAAATATTACTGTAAGAGTAACCAAAATTCTTTCCAGCAGCACAATTAAGAATCTTTTCTATCTGATTTTGGAATGTGATAATTATTTGTTTAACATGTGGCTTAGAGACAGTGTTATTAATGGAATTAGCCTATCCAGATTTAGAAACACAACCTTTAGTTTCCATTGTTGATAAGTTCCCAAAATACTGTTTATAATGCCTTCTTACAGAGGCCTCTAGCAAAATGAACCAGCCTTAACATTGTTGACAAGAGTTTATGTAAAACTTTCTCTTCTACAGATAAGATCCTTGACCTTGGTTTTCTATTGTTCAGAGGACAACAGTCAAAACTTTATAAATAGTATCAATTTGGAACAATGATATCTTCTGAGCTTAGTGCCTAGTAGTGACATACTTTTGTTAGAAGACTCTGATGAGGTCTCTTTAAAGGAAAGTTTAGGTGAGGTCTTATTCAAAAAAGCTTTTAACAAAGCATTGAATTCTGGGATTTCATAGTATTTATTTTAAATTGAAATTTATTTTAAATTGAATATATTTTGAAATAGGCTTCCTGGTAGTTCATTGACAGATGACTTGGATTAGGATGTGTAATGTGAGATATTTTGGCATCAAAACCAGCAGAGTTTGTAGGGCAGTTTTATGCTTTCTGTTCATTTGGATGGCATCTACGGCAACACACATTAAACCACGTAGACAGCGCCTGACTTACGCCTGTCTCTCCTGATTTTTCAGCCTGACCCTGCTTGTCTCTTTTTCCTTATCACTGTACAAATGTAGTCCCTACTAAAAAAATACACACAGTGTCCTCTAAATTGGTGCACATCAGTGTGTAGGAAAAGGAGTCCAAGCGCTCAGTCCTGGGGTGGGAGGGAATCTTTCTGTCCTTTTCGTCATCTGGCAAGGTCCTTGCTTCTACTTTTAAGCCAGTGTCCTGCCTCAGGATTTAAGATGGATCTAATTTGGTAATAGAAGAAAAGGAACTGGTTTCATAAATATCTTCCCAGGCTTAAAATTGTTGGCTATAGCTTGGATTCTCCGTTACTTAGTGTTTTCTTAAAACCCACAGTTGACTTCAGGTACCACTCAGCAAAGTAGTACTACAGAGAATGTCTGCATTCTGATAAAGCACAGCTGTGAAAAACGTGAAGCTGACATATTAAATGGTGAATATTGAACATTTTTCCTTTAACGGCTGGAGAACGAATGCTGTGTACTCTAACCACTTTTGTTCAACCTTGTCAAGAAAAAGAAATGCAAGGCACAAGTGTCTCTCTTTGCAGATCACGTGATTCTTTAATGAAAATCCTAAAGAATCTACAAAAGAGCTAATTAGTTCTGTGGGGCTAATATAGAAATTAATCATACAGCAAACATTTGAAAAATAAAAATTTTCAAAATCTATTATAATACATCAGTACACATTTTAAAAAAATTAGGAATATCAAATGTAATGAAAGTCCCCTACACTAAAATTACAAAAAAAAAAAAAGAAAGAAAGAAAGGAGAAGAAAGCCTATCCCCACTCATTTTCACAGCCAGAAGTTGTATGGGGACTTCTCCTCCTGGCACTGGACCCGTGGGCTGGGGGACCTGATGTGGGGTTGGGACCCCTCGCTCCTTGGGGGAGCGGCAGCCAAGATATCCCTCCCAGTTTTTACCTGCCGCACCTGGGTGCGAGCACCAACTTGGTCTGTGTCTCTGCCCCTCCTACCAGTCTCAGTGTGGCTTCTTTAATGCCCTAGTTGTAGGACTTGCATTCAGCCAGATTTCAGTTAGTTCTGAATGGTAGTGGTTCTGAGTTTAGTTGTAAAGTAATTTTGACGTGGTTGTGGGAGGAGGCGAGGACTGCGGTTACCTGCACTGCTGTCTTCAGCCATCTTGACCAGAAGTTGCTTGGTAAGTGCTCTTGAAAAGAGTAAGTATTCTGCAGTTGTTGGTGATTAAAGTGTAAATAAATCAAAGTAGTTGATACTGTTGGTCAGATCACATACTTTCTTTATGTCTTATATCTTATATTTTTGTGTATATGTATTTCTTATTCCTTATATTCATTTACTTTCAACCTATCTGTGTCTTCATATTTAAAGTATGTCTGTTACAGACAGTATATATTTGGATGTTGCTTTTTTAACTTTTCTGATAGTCTGTCT